GCAGGAATCTGCTGTCTATTCTACTCCATCTGCTTTTTATCAGGGCTCTAAATTGACACTGAGTTCACAGTCATTGGCTTAGCAAATCACTATTTGCCCTATTTAAAAATGACTAAACTAATAATTGAATTTGAGGGTTGCAGGGGAACATAACCCTGGACTTCAGAAAGCATCTTACCAGTAAAAAAAAGCATGCTCAGCACACTACTTGCAACTCCAGGACACTCTCTGGCATCATCTTAGCAAGTTTCATGTCCCACGTTCCTTCTCATGGGGAACTCTCAGTTTGGTACAACACACAGGAAGGCAGCAGCAGAGATGGAGGCTTGACAAGGAGGCAACCAGTATCAACAAGAAGGTTTGGCTGGATGTGGGGTGCGTATTTGGGGTATGGGTGCTTGTGTACTTCTGTCTCTCTGACTAGGGAAGTTCAGCAAGACCGAGGACGGGTTTGGGAGGAGAGTTAAAGGAAGACATAAACTGGTCTCTAAAAAAAGTGGGGGTTGGCTTTTTAATTATCAATTATTATTACAAGCTAAACTTCATCTTCTATGCAGATATATATTTTAAAACCAGCTACAATTTGGCAGAGTCAATACTTCACAACCGCATATCTCCAAGCCACAAGACTGCTGGTAGGAAAAAATGAAGGCAAGAAAACAAAGAGGAGCCTGCTTACCATCCCTTTTGGACAGAGGCATCCAGATATGCAGCCATGGCTGACGCACTCCAAGTCGTAATTCTGGCAAGTCTTGGCACACTCCAACCCTTCAGCTCTTGGGTTGTTTGCAGGACAGACAAATCTTTCCATGGGGGATCTGCATGTCAAGCTCCTTTTTACTTTAAAAAAATAAATTTACAAAAGTTGCAATTAGAACTCAAGTATTGTTTAGCATAGTACTTTTCTAAAGGATGGATCAACATTTTTGTTAGAAAACTAATTTAGGATATAGAATGGAGCAACACCACTACACCACTAAGCATGACATCGTAAAGGCAACAGTCTCCACTTCCCATAAAGTGATCTCAGTTAGGTTACGAAAAAAGCTTGTACTCTAATACAGAAGCAAAAGGAGCTGCACAAGGGTTCAATTCCAGGTTGCGCTAGGGCTACGACCACACTTTAGTGTGAAATATATTTCAACCTATAGTCAGTGTACACGAGCAATGTCAGCACTAAATCGATGTTCTGAGAAGCAACAGTACCATATATTACTGTGTTTAGACTCACTTCCAACACAGTGTATAACTACGTGGATGACTGTTAGTGACAAATGCCCTTAGCTTAAACACAAAGTTTTCAAACTCTTTGAGAACTCAGGTGCTGACAGAACATCAAGATTTCCCAAGAAACTCCAGGTTCTTACTTCAAGTGATGCTAGAAATATGCCTCTCTGAGGTTTTGTAAGTCTTAACGCACTTGTATCAGGAAAAAGATGTCTTAATAACATTACAGCAAGAGTTTGGCAAGATAAACACTGAGAAGGCTTCACCTGAAGGACAGTGGGGGCCAACCAGTGACACCATTACTGGGGGTCTACCAAGCCTCCCTCTCCCACCACAATCCCGTAAGCTCCATCCACCTGTCAGTGGGGAATCTCAAAATATCCCAGACCACTGATGTCCTATTCTCCAATGCAGTGTCAAGCTCTGCAAGGCAGCTGTCAGTCTCCAGGAGGTTCTACAGGAAGATGCCTGGTGGCTGGAGGGCAGGCTCAGTGCCCGGCAGCACTCTAACCTTCAAGCCACAAAAAGTTTTGTCTGCACCAGAAAGCAGAGTTTATAACCTGCTAGTCAGAAGCAGGAAGTATAAAGCTGGCTAGTTACTGATGTCGTGTGATCCACAATTAGCAACCGGGAAGATCACTTTCAAGGGATCCCTTAACCTCTTCACCTAAAGAGAGACTGCAGTGGCTAACTGTAATTTTGAGAGGTGAGACACAATAAGCCCTGCACCCTCCTATGCAAATGTTTTATTTCCATTCTGTAACAAAAACAAAACAGTTAGAAAAAGTCTCACAACATCACCAGCCACTGCAACCTCTGGTGCTTCTTCCCTATTCTAGATTACCAAGAGACTGAAAGGGAGAAAAAGAAAAAAAAAAATCAGAAAAAACCACTCATTTTTTAAGGCATACTAACTTCTGGCAGATGGCCTCTCATCAGCGAAAACATCTGGCAGGAAGGCACCAGGAACTCTGTTCGTACTGCAGTGCATGAAACCATTTTCACAATAGCTAAGAAAAACAAATAGAGCTTATATTTAACAAAGTGACATTTAGCTTTCACTCACACTGTTGTTTTCAGATAGACTCCCAGTGAACTTGTCAGACTACCAAAATTACACTTCTCATTGGGGCTGATCTGTTGCTCTCCATCCACTGTGTTTATCAACCTTAAAAGCAAACCCTCCTTAAGACAGTTGCAGTGATATACTAGCATGGTAAGCCAGCTGTATTC